GCCCTTTCATAGGTCCTGTTTACAAATAATTTTTTTTAATGAAAAATAAGTTTATGCATTTATATTTCTTTTTATATGTTAATTTATTTTTTTATTCATACAGTAATTAGTGATATTCATTTTGGAATATTTTAAACTATCGAATAGTATTCGATAGTTTTAAAAAACTATTCGAATTGTTTTTATACAACCGAATAGTGTGTTTTTAGCATAAACTATCGAATAGTTTTTAAAAATATTTGAATGGGCTAGCGAATGGTTTCAAAAAATATTCGATTAGTTCTATCTAAAATTTGTATAAAGTACACTTAATTATAATAAGAAGATAATTAACGAATACTTAAAATAAATTATTATACAATTAATAACGGTAAATAGATCTCCATACCCGCTAATTTTGTTTTTTATCATATGAAAGGTATTTGTGTAAAATTTGGTTTTAAAAACTTTCCCCGTTCAGGTACGAATCAGGGTTGAAAATTCTCTCAAAAAGGTAATTTTTCAGTTTTTGATTATTATTTAAAACTACCACCCCTAGCGTAACAATGTATAGAATATAAATTATAGATTTTAATATTTTCTTCTAAAATGGTATTCACAAAAATTTTCTAAAATTATTTTTACTTGCTCTAAAAAATAAAATAAAAAAATAATTTTCAAAATAATCATTTTACAACAAAATGTTTCGTAAAGAAAAATGTGTCAAGTTAAATTTTTTAAAACGTTGGTCTTATGTAAAATTATAATTTTGCTGTTTTAATAACACTAACGACTAAATAGGATTGTTTAAAACTGTTTATTGAGGGTACTACGATTATAAATAGGATACAATTAATAATAAAAAAAATTAGTGATGGTCATTTTCAAATATTTTAAACTATCGATTAACTATTCGAATTGTGTTTATACCACCGAATATTTTATTTTTATCATAAACTATCAAATATTTTAAAAACTATTCGAATATATGTGTAACTATCGAATATTTTTACTATTCGAATAGTTTTTGAATGACTATCGAATAGTTCGATGGTTTTTATTCGATATTTCCCATCACTAGTAATTAGTACTACTTATGTTGAACATAATTAAAATATTTAAAATAATGTTTGAATGTTGTGTTAAATTTTGTATTATTATTTATTAAATACATTATTAATTTACTAATTGAAATAATTTTTAATATTTTTCAACCTTGATAAAGAATGATATACAAAATTCTTTTCTTTAAGTGATAACTAATGATAATTCTTAATTTATGAAGCTCAATAAAAAGAAACGACCAGATTTCATGAAATTTTATATGTTAGTTATGATGAAGTCCCTTTGGATTGTTTAACGGATACGTGTGTTCTCCCTTTAATAAAAAAGAACTTCAGCATTATATATAAAAATAAAAATAACGAATGTATAAATAAAATATATGGATACTTTGGTTTAATTAATTACTTCAATGAGCAATAGTGTAGTTTTATTAGTTACATCGTATTAACACAAATAATAAAAATTATATAATAATCGGTTATAAAAATATGATTTTAAACTAATCTTTTGGAATCTTGTTATATCATTGTACGCCATTATAATATTTTGTTAAACATGATTTACGATGAACAACGAAATTTGTACCGTATGATTAGCTATGAAATAATAGTTAATTGAATTGACGAATTTATAGTGAATCTCATTGTGTGTATGATATTTTATAATTAGATAGTTGTTTTATGAGCTGGAAAGCAAATGTGTTAGCGTTTCTGGTCACCTTTAAGAATCTAAAATTATGTCGTCTATCCGACACTACTATAAGTGTAACGATTGTATTTTTAGTCTCTGGACTATAGTCAACATCATAGACTAATACAAATATATCTCGGACTATGAACTATTGTAGTGTTGTTGTTTTATGGTATGCGGCAATTACAACCTGTCCCAGTCAGGGTTGTTAAAAAACATGTTGTTTTAAAAAAAAATCCGTTTAAAACATTAATAAACAATTTTAAACGTCCCACAAAACCAATGTAAATTTTGACATTTTTGGTGTTTTAAACAAGCAGAGTTTAAAACGTAACAACCCTGGTCCCAGTTGATAAAGTAACCCATCATATATGTTATGATGAAAAGTTTATTTTAAAGTGTTCTACAATGAGAAAATTTTAGCGCCTTTGTATACAGTGATTCTTTTAAAATTTATCTAAAACTCTAAAGGTCACCTTTCAAAAAAAAAATCCTCGAAATATAATTGTCGATCCATTGATTATATTTTGCATAAATGCTTTTATGTTAAACGTGTATTCATAGATTATATTAAGTTGTATTAGATAAGAATTACCAACAATTAATAATTAAAAAAAAAATTATTATTAGATGTAGTTTATAAATTAATTTTAACAAGATCACATTCATAATAATTATTATAAATTGACCTAGTACTTCAACAGGTTACAATATGTTTTAAATTGCTCAATATATTTCATCATGATTATTATCATACTTGTGTTTTTACTTTTACTTATGATAATTATTTTCACTATATTATTTTATCGAAAAATAAGAATGCTATCACAATGTGAAAAATAGTCGAAATAGTTTTTTATTACATTAATTTTTTAGGTTCGATGCGAAGCTGAGAAGGTATTAGTTTTACTATGATGTGTGTGTTTTTATTTTTATTTTTTTTGTGTGTCTGTTACCACTTTTTCTCAGCTTTCATCAAACCGATTTCTTTCAACAATACGTCAAAAGATCACAAATCGTATCTAGTCGAAGACATTACCCTCAAAATTTGAAAAAAATTTTCTCTTAAATAGGTTACAAACTATGCCACGATAGATAATCTAGTTATCTTTCCCCGTAAATGGAGGAAACCTCCAAAAAAAATACCAAATTTAAAAATCGCTTATTTTTTCAATTTTTTTTACTTAAAATTGCCATAACTTTTTCAAAAATGAACAAATCAATATCATTTTTTTTTTTAGATGCTTGATCTCTTTACCTATCATTTGGTGAATTTTTTTTATAAATCTGACCCTTTACCTGCCCACAGGAGAGGATTCAAAATGACAACTTTTTCACAAAAAATTAATTTTTCAACATAACTTTTGAAATTGTCCCGGAAAGTCTGACACTTTTATATATATCTTAAATTAAAGCTAATGTAATATAGTTTATTATAGAAAAAAAAATTTTCGGATTTTATTTTGTCTTCACGTCGAAAATGGCTACCAAATGCTATTTTTGTGTGAAAATTCTTGATTTTATTTTTTAGATTTTTTAACTTTATAATGTTATAACTTATTGAAAAGTTTATGGATCAACACAATTTTTTATGAGAAATAATATTTATATCCCTTTTTTATTCGACATACTTTATCTTAATCAGGATATTAATAAGGAAATAGCAGATCGTGTAGCTTTTGGAATAATCCACTAATTTTTTAAAAGTAAACACTATCTAAAGATTTGCATCGAAGCGTTTTTTATGATTGTGATTTTAATCACTGACAGATATCATTATACTTGATCCAACTATGCCACGTCACCACTGTGCCGCGACCCCTCTGTGCTTGATTTTTAGTTTTTATTAAGTTTTGTATTATTTTACAATAATAAATATTTTTAATTAATATTAAATTGACTATATTTTGACATGTCAAATGATCAAATTCGAAAAAAAATATTATTAATCAAACCTTTTTTTCAAATTTAGGCTAGATTAGATAATCATTTTCCAATCTGTTTAATTCATTGCAAAAATCGAAGCTAAAAGTTAATTTATAATATTAAACTCATTTAAATTACTAGTTGCTTCAAATAGTAGTAATTACTTTTTAACCTAAGTTAAGTTAGCTAATATATTAGCTAACTTAATAGCTAAAATTTCTATAGATTTTTAATTTTTTTTTTTTACCAGTTTATGATTAGTTTAAATCTATTTGGACAGTTTTTTCGGATCAAATTTTAACCAGACAATTGACTAGTCAATTGACATCATGTCAATCTAGTTTGAAATTGTTAATAAATTATAAAGTAATTTCTGATAAACTGAAAATCAAAATTTTTGCGTATAAAAAGTTACATTATATCGATCCTCCTTTTCAAATGTATGATACGCGTGGTAATGTTTGCTATTTAGTAAAGTAGACGAACTTTATTTCTCCAATTATTATTAATAATGATGCTCACGTTTATTTGCAATTGATTTTTTTATACATTCTTTCACACACAACATACGAGTAATGATCCGATAAGCGTTAATATAAAGAGGGGAATCGTTGATTAATAAACCTGTAGCAAAGATATACCATACCTTGTTTAAAAATGGTTCCGATAAATCCACATAGCAAGTATAAAAAAATTAAATCTCTATGTTTATAGTATCTAAATTCATATCAGTACTAGTTGTATGTTACTTTAGTTACTTGAATGTATTGATTAAGTCAATTTACGTGTAAAAATCGTGTTTCAATAAACTGTTCAAAATTTAATTTTTAAGTTGTTATTTTACATTTAATTTGCTGGTATGTGTTTTTATAAGTATTTAATGTTTTCTTGAAAACAACGTTTTTGTTTAAGAATTTATTAACTTTTCAATTATTATACGTCAAAATTTTTGTGTTTAATACTTAGAATATGACGTTTTTTTTTGAATTTCAAGTTCAGTAATATTGTCATTAAAACGAAACTAAATTAAGTGTCTTAAATTTCAGCAATTGTATTTCTATTGATTTTATTGCTCTATGAGTGAAATTTAAAACGTGGAAAATATGTCATACACTAATCTGTTTATTGATTTTTTTGTTCAAATATTTTTTTTTTTAATAATTTGTTTTTGCCAATATCAATCATATTGAGCTAGAAATTTAAATTATTTACTTAAGTTATTACTTGTAGTATAACCAATGTGTAATATACTATAGTATATCATTGTTCTGTAAAATATCAAACAACAATTTTGTTATAATGTTGTATCTATTGCTAAAACGTTTTGGTTTTATTCACAGGTATTGTGTGAATCATTGTATGTAGTAGAAGGTATATCGACATAGTTGATAAACTTCAACCAGATGGGAGTTCAAGCAAGAAGTAAGACCGATACAGCGGCCAGGCTGCCTGTTGAAAATGACATAAAGGAAGTTGACCTATATGATGAGCCCCTTAAACCTCAGGGCACAGCTCAAAAAAGGGAAATTATATGGCCAACAACTATATATTTTATTGTGTTTCACACATTAGCTGCTATAGCTGTGATTTTCTTCTTGAAAAATGTCAAATTCTTGACTATTATTTGGTGTAAGCTATAAATTAAATTAAAAAACATGAAGAACCGTTCTTATATTATATATTTATAATGAATTTTAAAATAAATAAATACATTTTTTTATATAAAATGTTTTGATTCTCAAGTTACACAGAATCATGAACTTAAAGTTTTTAAAATCTTAAAGCTCATTTCATTTTTATTTGATTGTTCTAAGTATATATTATTGGGCGGCTAGAATTTTTAGTAATTTCTTTAGAGAAAGAAAACAAATTTCATTAGTTTCCATTTTACAGCTCTCCTAGTTGGATTCATTGGACAATTTGGTGTAACAGCTGGAGTACATAGATACTATACACACAAATCTTATAAAGCCAAAATACCTCTTCAAATAATACTTTTGGCTTGTTACTCAGTTGCTGGACAGGTAAGAATATAAGATATTTTTAATACTATTAACATATTATTAATTTAAACTTAGTACTATGTCTCTAAAATTTAAATATTTTGATAATTTTTTTAAAAATTTTATAGTACAGAGTTGTAGATTGGGTTCATGATCATAGATTACATCATAAGTTTAGCGATACTGATGGTGATCCACACAATGCTAGTCGAGGTCTATTTTTTTCCCATATTGGATGGTTAATGCAAAGGGGACATCCTGAAGTTGAACGCCGTAGCAAGACTATTGATATGTCCGACATTGATAATGATCCTTTAGTACAATTTCATACAAAGTATGATGTTATTTATTTAAACACATTTTTTGGTGCACTGTCTTAAGAACTTCATTATTTTTATATTATGAAATATAGAATTTTGAAATCTGAATTTAATGATCTCAATAGTAAGAAATTGCAATTTTTGTACCTTGCATCAAAAAAAAAAAAAAAATTAATAGTTTTAAATACTAGAAATTTATTAATAATTTTTATTATTTTAGGTTTTATTGGTTCTTCAAGATAACCATGTGTTTTATAATCCCAATTATTGTACCAGTATACTTGTGGAATGAAAATTGGATCGAGTCAATATTTGTTGCTGGAGCTTTAAGATTTGTTATTTTTACCAATATGACTTTCTCTATTAATAGTATTGCTCATTTTTTCGGAACCAAACCTTACGACAAGTAAATTTTTATTTTTTTGTGTATATAATATATGTTTTATGACTATATATATATATATTTATAGACGTATCAAGTCTGCACAAAATATGGCTTTGTCTTTTTTGACCACTGGTGAAGGTTGGCATAACTATCATCATGCATTCCCATGGGATTACAGAGCTGAAGAATATGGGGGTAACATGACTAATGCTACAACAATAGTTTTGGATTGGTTTGCTAAAATTGGATGGGCATATGATCGTAAGACCCCATCATCAGATCTCATTAGAAGAGTAGCTACCACTCATGGAGATGGCAGTTGGCAAGAAGTGCCAGTTACAGAAGCTAAATGCAATTAGATTACTATCATTACTAATGCATTTTTTTCTAATTAAAAAGACTTTAAAAACTTATAAATGCCTTCATAGAATGTTATTTATTATCAATTGATAATTACAAAGACTATAGATTCATTTTTTTACATCTATTAATGATGCGATTTGCTATTAGTATCTAATATGTCGGTAGTTTTGAGTTAATTTTTAATTGGTATTAAAATTTAACTTCTTTTCAATCCTTGAATAATAATGTGGTTGGGAAATTAGCTCTGTATTAATAAATATTTTATTATATACTTTCATAGTAAACACATTTTTACCATTGTAAATTGCTGATAACTTTTGAGGTATTAATGTAATGTATGATTAAATGTGAATATATTATGTTAGTCGTGCTCAAATATAAATGTTTTATTTTTTTAGTTTTTAAAAAACATCACTTATTTTCTTACCTTGTGCATTTTTGTGCTAAAAATTTTAATTTTGTGAATTATTTAATTTTTTTAAATAATATAATTATCAAGTTTTGTTATGTGAAGTTTATACATTGATCAAAGTATTTAGTTTATAGTCTTAACTAGTTAAAATTTATGGAATTTATAGTGATTAAAGTTGACTGAAGAAAGTATTGTACAGTGAAGGATTTAGTAGAATTAGGTGTAGAGTTGTTGTTACATGAAGAGTGAATGTGTCAAACGTTCTATGTGCCAAAAATATATTTGTTCAGAAAACACAAAAAACGATGGTAACATGGGCATGTCTCACATAATGAACACCATCTATGAATGCAATTTTGTACAAGTAAAAAATTTAATTGACATTTGATTGTGGCCTTTGGTACATAGAACATAAATCAGAAATAAAACAATTTTTCACTTTTTTGGTACATAGAACGTTTGACACATTCACTCTTCACATATTATGGAGTCATATAAAAAAATCTGTTGTGGGGTTATTATTATTAATTTTTTTGTTAAAAAAGTGTTAAGTGTGTGCAATAAGGTATCCTATACTAACAATTAACTAAATGAAACCTTAGGTCAATCATAAAAAAATAGCAAGAAGTGACAAGTTATAGAGTCTTTAAAATTATAGTAAGTAAGACAGAATATTCAGAAAGAATTTTAATAACTATGGTAAGTATTCTGAAATATAAAACTAATAATTAATTTTAAATGTTATTGAGCTCATTAATATAAAAAAGTTATTAATCATACAAATTAGAGAATTTATATTTTGAGTCTTGGTTATTTTTTATACATAGGTAAATTTAACAAGGTACTGTTCTAAAATAGATTAAATTAAGGTGAAGAAATAACAACAATTCAAATTTTCCATTGTACAATATTAAGAAGATAATTGGATATTAAAGTTAATTTTTAAACTAATGTTAAAATTGATATTAGAAACTTAAAAACATAAAAACGTTAACTAAATTTTTTTTAATTAGTAACAATATTCTAATTTAAAAAATATTAATGTATAAATTAATATGTTAGATAAAAGAAATAATTTTGATTTGTAATTGCTGTCTACTAACTCGAACTAAGGCACTAGGTTGTACATTCTACTGATTTGAAAACATCAAAATTTCATTTAATGTTAGCTTCAGTAGGAAGTTGAGCATTTATTAGATTGTGTTATTTAAATTGTCTACCATTATTAAACTTAGTTTTTTTCTACCTACTTAACCTCTTAAAATTATTAATTATAATTTTTTTTAATATTTGCAAGCGTCTACCGAACATTTAACGCACAGATAACAGATATATATTAAATATGCAATTAACATCCAACTCGATGGAAAAAGTTAATCGTTGACAATTTACGATAATTAAATATAAAAGAGTAGTAGTGCACTAACTCCCCTAGAGGAGTTACGTTCCTTAGCTTTCAACTTTTATTATCATACAAATTGTTTAAAATTAAATTTAAAATTAAAATTTTTGGCCGACCCCAAATAGTTGGTATTAAGGCGAGGAAAAAGAAGATACAAAATGTTTAAAAGTACTTATATAACACATTTAAATATTTATTTAAAACCTTAGGAAATTTTTTCTAGTCTTGGCTAGTCATGGTTGTGTATTAATAAATAAATATTTACTATAATAAAAATAATTTTATTGGTATAAGAAAATTTTCGTAATAATATGATACCAAATTTATTATGCTAATTCAGTCTCCACCAAAACAAAATTGATTTCTGTATCATAATTAGGTATATTTTATTTCCCATAAAATTACAGAATATACGTTCTTCAATTTTAAAATTGTATTCTTGCCTAAATTATTTTAATTATATTATAAGCTCAAAGTACTACTTAAAGTAACTTTTTGATGTAATTTACACACTTATATATGCAGATATCCAATCATTACTTATTTGAATTATACTTATGAATTGTTTTATTGATTTAAGACAGCATTTATAATATTGTTATTGGCGATAAATCACCTTAAACTGTCATTCGTATTAATATCCATTAGGATATTCAAAGTAGTAAATTGTTAAGTTAAAAAAATTTATTGTGATTATAATTTTGCTTTAAATTTTGTTATTAAAGTTGAGTAATTATTACAATTATTACTTTATAATGCTTGCTAATTTATAAATGAATTAGGAGGAATTATTATTGATTTAATTGTAATTTTATACATTTAATGCGGTATTAATATAATGTAATATATTATTATAAACCATTTTTCATATATTTATATGAAAAAATTGCTTTAAAAATTTAATCCTTTAAAAATAATTTATATTACAAAAACTGTAACATAGTATAAATTTTAGTTTGCAATTACAAAATGATAGTAAAAAAATGTGTTGGTTTTCCCTTTACAATAGAGTCAATCCATGCCAAATTTAAATGACACTGTTCAAGTTAATCCCTTTAAGTAATATTAACAAATAAAGTTATAGTGTGATTTCCATAGAGCTCACCAGTTTTCTATCGCAATGGAAAAGTATAATGGCCTCAGCTATGAGTTTAGACATTACACGACAATTACCTTCCAATTATTTAGCATTTGTTTTAATTGTTCAATAAAACTATAACAGTTGAAACGTTAACAACTGCTAAATATTACTTTCAAAAAGCATAATTATTGAAGAAAACTGTATATTTAAGTTATTCCTTTATTTACAAATTTTGATCAAAATAAACCACCTTCGTTAAAATTCAACCTTCACATTTAAGAAAATACTATTGTTCAAATTTGAACGTATTTGCTTATAACCAGAAGATCAACGTTCTTTAAATTAAGTATATTATTCGTTATTTGTATTTATAAATCAATTATAAGTAAGCCCTATAAATTGAACATTGACCTCATAATGGTCGTAAACGTTGGAAAATCATTTAAATGACACTGTTCAAGTTAATCCCTTTAAGTAATATTAACAAATAAAGTTATAGTTTTAAATAAATTTCTAGTTTAAAACTGAAAAAAACGCTATTTATATTAAACTACTAAATATTGCTTAGACTAATAAATTTCAAGTAATGAAATTTATTTAACATTATTATCATTCTGTCATTTTGTCTATATTTCATATGTGTATAATTTAACAATTTATTTTATTAATAAAAATAAACCTTTTAATAATCGATAATAACGAGTTTAACATGTTTAATGTATAATAAATTGAAAACTTTAATTATTTATTTTTGATACAAGTAAATCGATCGCTTTTTATTTACGGATTTAGAGGGTTTAATGATTTTAAGGTCAATAATTGTTTTGAGAATTACACGTGTTTTGAGAAATTAAAAAATAAATATGCAAACTAGCAACTGGCATTATAATTCCATTATATTTTCCTCTGATTTATTCATCATTATAATTGAATTTTATAAAATTTGAATTTGGGGTATTTTAGATACAATTTTTATAACTAAAGATGTTGAAATTGTTATACTATCGACAGAGATTTAGTTATAAATTTATTTATAAGGAATAGTTTCAGTATATAACCCCTTTGGAATTATTCGTATGAAGGTTTTGAATCCTCACACGCTCTTACTTACTCCGATAACGATCAAAACATTCAGAGTTTCAAACATTTAAAAAAAAAAAAAACTTTAAAAATGATAGGATTTAATTATTATTATTATTATTATTATTATTATTATTATTATTATCATCATTATTATTATTATTATTATTATCATTATCATCATTATCATTATTATATTATTATTATTACTATTATTAGAATTATCATTATCTTTATCATTATCATTATTATTATTATTATTATTATTATTACTATTATTAAAATTATCATTATCTTTATCATTATCATTATCATTATCATTATTATTATTATAACTATTATCAGCTTTATCATTATTATACTTACTATTATATAAATATCATATTTTTTTTTTTTCTATGATCTTCCCATTTTTATGGCTATTTTAATGTAAAAAAAGTTAAAAATAGCTAGATCGTTAAAAAACACACAGATTATTCAATTTCAACTCAATCGAAGTAATTTGATTATATAAAATTTTATAAAACGGTTTGTTATATAAAATATAAAATTAGTGATTACATGGAAAATAATAATGTTTCTGTTTAAGAAAAGTAACAAAATGTATCAAAATTAAAAAGATAAAATACCCACCTCAGAAGTACAACAAAACACCTAATATGGGATTTAAATTGTATAAAAGTATTCCCGGGAATAGGGAAAATCACAGATTTTTATCAATTAATAACAATAACATAAGAAGTCTTAAGATATCATTAACTGACATTTATAAAGACACAATATTCTAACTTCTAGAAAAACCATGATTATTTATTAAAATATTTTACAAAATTATCATAATAATTTTATTTATTTATTTTTTATTTTCCAACTAAAATAATGAATTGAATATTTATAACCGTGTCTAATAATTATATTGAATTATAATATATTACATTTACAAAAAATGTGGTTTGAAAACAACAAAAAACTATCATTAAATTATTTGATTTTTACTGATTTTCTAATGCTAAATTTTACATGTTACACATTTTTCTAAAACTTCAAATTTTTATGGTGTATAAAACAGATATATATCTACAAAATTAAAAATTTTTTTGGAAATTAGGTCCCCCATCACAGATATTGCACTTAGAATACACGTATTTTTATAAAATTTCTAACTTTGTCGTAAATCCTGTCGTAACTCAAAAATATAAAAAAATATTAA